GACCGGAGCAGGGGCTGTACTAGAGTAATCAGGAACCTGCTAGAACCAGTTAAGGCAGCAGGCTAATTAGGACACCTGGAGCCATTTAAGAAGAAGCTGCTGGAATCAATTAAGGCAGGCTAATCAGGGCACCCGGGTTTTAAAAGGAGCTCACTTCAGTTTGTGGTATGAGGAGCTGGGAACATGAGGTGCAAGGAGCTGAGAGGGTGTGCTGCTGGAGGACTGAGGAGCACAAGTGATCAGACACCAGGAGGAAGGTCCTGTGGTGAGAATAAGGAAGGTGTTTGGAGGAGGCCATGGGGAAGTAGCCCAGGGAGTTGTAGCTGTCATGCAGCTGTTACAGGAGGTACTATAGACAGCTGCAGTCCACAGGGCCTGGGCTGGAACCTGGAGTAGAGGGTGGGCCTGGGTTCCTCCCAATTGACCTGGACTGTGAGTTCTTCCAGAGGGGAAGGTCTCTGGGCTGTTCCCCAACCCACATGGTGAATCTCTGCGGCAAGAAAATCCACCAATAAGCACAGGACCCACCAAGATAGAGGAGGAACTTTGTCACAACACATAGTAAGAGACAGTCACTGCCCTAAAGATCTAAATTGACAAGACAGACAAATGATGGGAGAAAAGAGTGGCAAAATGACTTGCCTAAGGTCACAAAATAGATAAATGGCAGGGCAAAGAACAGACCTACTGTCTCCCAATTGCTAGTCCAGTACCCTAGTCATTTGACCACTTTGCCTCTCTAGTCTACTGTGATGGAGAACATGCTTTTTAAATACCACAGGAAAATATCTGGTCAATTTAATACTTCTTGAATCAGCATTAACTCTGCCTCTGCACTCTGAATGGTCAGGTGACTGCAGGAACTGGCTGTCAGCCAATGGCAGCACTGCTGAGAGCTGGCTATCTTATCACTGATGTGGGAAGGAGGTGAGAGGAGCTCAGCAATAAAGTAGGTGGGCTACTTGTGGATTCTTGATCTCCACTACTTTTGTCAAGCCTGGATGGGGTTTTGACTGCTTTATTCCCTCTAGCATGTTTTTACATGGGAATGGAATGATATGTTCCCTTGTGCTAAGCCACTGGCCTGGAACAACACTCTATTCTCCTTCGCTTTGAGCAACAGAATCCATTCTCTCAATCTCCCTTTCTTTTCTTTTTACCTTATACCTTTCTCAGTAAAGTGTGTGTGCGGTTTTTTGTTTGGTTGGTTTTTGTTTTTTTTTTTTTTTTGTACAAGCAGCATGAAGGAAGTGGGACCTCGAGGGAACGGCTTTGCAGTGATAAGCATTAGGTTTGAAATATCTAGATTCCTAGAACAACAGCTTCACAAAATTCTTTATCCTTTTGAGCTAGATATCTTTGGCGGGAGCTAAATGGTTAAGTTTCAGAGGAGGCCTGACAAAATGAAGTTGTCTGGGCTGTGCTAGGACATTAATTCTGCATAAAATAGTGGTTTATCTTAGTGTCTTTGACTCAAGTCCCTCCACTGTTGTACGGCGTGCTGTGCTGTGCACCAGCTGATCTCTTCACCAGTGGGGCAACACTTCAGAGGTGTTGTAGGTGGTTATATCTATATTGCCTGTAAAACACCATGCACACCTGTGACAAAGAAAATAGGTCACTGTACTGAGGAGCTTACACTCTAAGATGGACACAGAATAGGTTTGCCTTTTAAACCTCTTTTTCTTTGCAGGAGGAGCTTTGGCAAGATAGAGGAGCTGGATCATGATGTTACATGAATTTATAAAATGAGTTATAGCTTTCTCTCCCCACGAACTGAGGGGAAAGGGTATGCTGAGCTGAATGTCTCTAAGACCCAGCATCCCTCCAAATGTTTAATTTTGTGCATTTGCAAGCTAAATAAAAGGTGTAGGGCTTGAATCACTCCTCTGTACCAGTGGGGAAAGCTACTACGGAGGAGAGAAAGATATGTTTACAGCCCTCCACTTCCCAGGGGAGTCCTAACTTGTGACTAATGTTCCTAGAGACTCTCTGATCATGCCACTTCCCTGTCCAGAGCACCCAGCTTTTGGGGGGGGGGGCACTGGCTGCAGGCCCATTGGAGAAGTGGAGGTTGTATCACTGTTTTAACACAAGCCCCTCGATCCAGTGCTTGTATAGACAGTGGAATTTGTGTTTGAACTTGGCCCTAAAATGCCAAATTCATCAACAATCCATGATAAAAATCCAGATTTCCCCCCCAAGTAATGTAGGAACGAGCGATGGCTTCCCATTTTACTGTGTTTGTTAATCCTGTTAGTGGAAGGCTGTGAGGTTAGGTAAGGCAGCTTGAAACATGGCATTTCTTTTGACAGATGGAAAGATAAAAGGATGGGGGAAAGGAAAGAAGAGGAATTTAAAAAAAATCAGATGTCTCAGCTCCATTCAGGTTTCCATCTGTGGAGATACAGCTGAGAGGTACATAGTACTGTTGTGAGAATGGTTACTTACTAATGGCCTAAAAAAGAGCATCACCATGGTAAACAATTTTGTGTTGTCCCTTACACTCTGTGTGATTGCACCTATGACTTGAGATCCTGCAGGAGGGAAGGTGCTATCCACATGTACAACAGTGGGCTAAATTTTCTGCTGATGTATATGGGTTCAGTTCAATTGAGCTCAAGGGAATTGCACTAGCAGAGAATTTGGATCAGTGTTACTATAGAATAGTAAAATAAATGTTTAGTTTATAGTATTATAAGTTATGTAAATAGAGTTGGGCAATCAGAAGTGGAAGAGGAAAGAACTGGGAAGTTGATGGGGAGGGAGATGAGCAGGAGATAAAAAAAGATTGAGAACAGGAGAAGGGAGATAAGGAGAGCAAGACTATTGCAAAGGAGAGAGAAAATTAGAGGAAATTGGAGAGAAGAAAGGATGTCTAAAGAAAAATACATTTTCTACATTCCACTTTGTAAGATAGAAAGGAAGATATAAGAAAAGAGGACTGAAGGGAATAGGGGATGAATTTATTTTGAAACACATTGCCACTTGGCGAAACAACTCATTGTCACTACTAACTCAAGAGGCTGGCCAGCACTGTCAATTTACAAAGAACCCAATCTAATGTTATGTGATTAGCTCAGGTGAGCCCCCTGTTCTACACTGTATAGAGAGTTTACTTTGCTGTATGTAATAACCTCTTACTATATTGTTTTAACTGAACTTTAATGTAATGCCTCTAATACAAGTCAGTCTAAAATTATAGATTACATCAGGGATTGGCAACCTTTGGCATGCAGCCTGCCAGGGGAAGGCCCCTGGTGGGCCGGGCCAGTTTGTTTACCAGCCATGTCCACAGGTTCGGCCCATCGCGGCTCCCACTGGCCACGGTTCACCGTCCCAGGCCAATGGGGGCGACGGGAAGCGGTGGCCAGCACATCCCTCTGCCCATGCCACTCTCCGCAGCCCCCATTGGCCTGGGATCAATAGAGTGAGCTTCTTTATCTCATTGTAAGCTTGGTTTTCCAGACCTTGAGTAGTTCTAGTCACACTTTTCTGAGTGCTACCCATTTGTCAACATCTTGTGTCCACAGCAGAATGCAACACCATATTCCAGTAATGGTCTCACTAGTGTCATATACAGTGGTAACAACACCTTCCTACTTCTACTTATTAGTCCCCTTCTTATAAATCCAAGGGCCACATTTACTGTCTTAACCTCTGTATTACACTGTGAGCTCACAGAAATCTAGTGCCCTATATGGATTTTTTTCCCCCCTGAATAGGGGATGATTTGAGCCAAAATTCACATTGGTTATAACTACATATCTCCATTGGATATTATTTTAAAATATATAGTAGTCAATCAAAGAACATACCAGTTTTAAACTATAATATATATTAGACTTTTGTCCAGATGAAAATCCTAGCAACAATGATTACCATACCACCACACTAGTTTTATTTTTTTATTTAAAATGTTTGCTTAGACTGATAAATAGATTTAACACATTGAAGACTAGTGCAGATAATTACATAGTGCTTTTTTAAAAAAAAAGCACCTATCTGAAAACAGATCAGAGAGAATAATTCTACCTTTCTCCTTATAAAAAATGTTAATCTGTGGCTTCATTGTATCATACTCAGCTGTATTAGTTACATAATGATGTTGAACTCTCAGTAAACTGATCTGTTGGTGGCTTAATGAGTCAGATTTCTATCAGGGAAACATTGAATTGAAACATGATTAATGACCATTGCAACATTATCACAAAGATACTGAGACAGTCCTATATTTTTTCTGTGACTACTGAAATTTAGAAATTTCCTTTTACTGTACAATATATGAATCCACTTAATTAGTTAATACTAGGAGACAAGATTTCCTACGAAGACAAATACTGCTAACATAATTGGGCTGGATGTTACTTTGAATAAAAAATTATTTCCACTTTCCCTATTTTGTCTCAGTTTGCTCCTGCAGAAGATGAGTCTCTCCTTAGTCCCATAAAGATAAGTACTTGTCCATGGGCCTACCATCTCAAGCTGAATGCATTTGTGGTTACTACATTTTGACTTGATGGCTTTGGGAGTTCAATCTTAGATGAAGATTATCTTTGACTGCCTCTAAGCCAGCAAACTCTTAAATTCAACCATTACCCAGATGTGATCTCATAATCCCTCTCTTTGCTTCCACTGGTACTTCAAAGTTCAATGTTCACCTCATGTGTACACATGCTATGAGAATTATGAAAAACAGTTCAGCCACCAAACCCACTATGCACAGTGTGGTCCAAGATCTAGCCCTAACTAGATCCAAAACAAAATTACTTTTTTAAGAAATCACTAGGTAGCAAAGACTTTCTTCAGTTTCCATGTTCCATTCCTCGTTTTGCTAAAACAAGAAATATACAAAATCAAATATGATGTGACAATTTATGCTACATTTTCCTTTCCTTTTGAGCAGACATACTAGTATTTGCAGCTTCATTCAAAAGGCATAAATCCAATTTAGTGTTTGTGTCAACCATATCGGTAACATATCCATAATTGCTACTTACAATTCTGTGTTAAAAAGTGATTTGACAGTCTGCTTGTATTTGCGGTATTGCTCCCATTCAGCTTTGGCATGGTCTGTTACTAACTCTTCTACAGGCACTTGAGGTATGCCTAGCTTCTCAGCAAACTGGTTAGCACCTGTTCCAGTGAGCATCACATAAGGTGTCTTAAAAAAAAAATCAGAGAGAGAAACAGAATATTAAAAATAACCTTGAATGCTATCAACCGCCTGATACATAATATTATTATATTTAAAGTCTCTATTCCTTTAGCACCCAGAGGCCCTAATTAGAATCACAGTCCCATTCTCATAGGCACTCTGAAAACACATTTGAAGAAACAGACCATCGTGCAAAAAGGTTTTGGTCTAATCAAGATACTGTAGGTTTAAAAGATTCTTAGGATGATGTTTTGCAAGCTGCCTCAGGAATTTGGACTTCCAAGTTTCATTGAAATTAATGGGAATAGTGCATCTAAATTTCTTAGTCATTTGTCTTGGGGCCTACAAGAAAGCAAATTTTAGTCACCCACTTAATTTTCTCTGTGATAATTATGCATGATACCAATAATAAAGAAACAGTGATTTTGGTCCACTTCTCTTTGTCTCCCCTTTCTCATTTCAATCTCACTTTCCTCCCATTTCTTTCCTTTAAAATTTTTTCTTTGCCTTCATTTTTTT